ATTGATTCTATAGCCCCCTCAACATTTAATGAGCTGGAGAGGGGAGTAGATACCTTTCTATTGCAATATAGAAATGCCAAACATTCGATGACGAAGGAGACTCCAGCGAAGCTATTGAAAGGAAGAATTCTTCGGTCGAATATGAGATGTCTGGAGTCTGCAGAGGTTACATACTATCGAGGAAATGATCTTCGACCATCTACGGGTATTGTTCTGAAGAATGTCGGAAAATCGATGGTGCGAATTCTAGACATCGATGACTTAAGTACACACAGTCGACATGTAGATCAAATACAATTTCAGGAACCAGGTGAGTCAGTTCCAATTTCGATTGTTAATTCTAATGCTAATGAGCATATTCTAGATAATACAGAATCCTTATCCAATACAATGTCAGACAGACTCAGGATGAATTTGAGAAGAAGACGTACGATTGATTACAAACACCTAGACTCCAATTTAAGCTGTGGCGGATGTGGTGTTTGAATGAACCAATGATACCTTTGTACTGGTTGAATGCTCGATTTCGAATTCTAAATACAGTACATTCGTTGTGCCTGTGTCTTCTTAATTCAATTGCGTTAATCCTGGAATTCCTAATTCATACTATAAGTAGAATACTATACAAAGTCATCAGCTAAGCAGATTGGGCTCCGATAGATGACACCTAGCATAAATGTGCTACATCCGATAGCCAACTTACAGCGAAACGAAGTGACGCACGGTGGAGGCGTGTGAGCCAACTCCATTTAATCAGGCGTTAATCAATATTTATAGTCACACAAAAAATAAGCTACAGACATGTGATGAGTAGGATAAGATGTACTCACACACGCTCATATAAAGGCAGTCCGGGTTGAATAACTAACAAGGTCAAAACGTGACTCAAGAAGAATGAATAGACCAACCTGTTCAGAAGTTAGAATACGTTATATGGGCTTAAAATAGTAACCGATACTACAAGGTCTTGGATTTTGGGGTGAAACTCACTTACTTTTCTGACTAAATAGCGTTTTGGCATTTTAGCTGATATCAGTTCGTAATGAAAACCTTAAAACTAGTTCCTAAACCTAACCGTCTACTGTAAGTCACAATCCTAATTCCTTTCACTGGCTTATGACTCTCATTCAACCCTAGTAAGTAGGTAGGCATTCCCAAGGCCATCAAAGCGTCACTCAAAGGCGCAGAAAAGTAATCATTGGCATTTTTTGATTACGGAATTTTCGTTACGGTCTAATAGTATCAGGTGTTTCATTGAAGTGACGAAGAACTAATTGTATGTGTTTTTGAACCATATTAAAAATTTTTAACTTTACAAACTACTAAATTGGAAGTGTAATTAGTTTGTTGAATTCCAGATAAATACTTACCAGCAGACTAATCAGTAAGAACTCTGACGAAATAACTTACTGTAAACATCAAAACAGTTTCACTATTTCTTATTTTAATGAATCCGCCAGCATAACGCCTTGTTTGGTGATAAACTGTTTTCAAATAGGAATTTTAAATTTGGCCCCTTCCCAGTTATAGATATTTGTAAGCAAGTACAGCTTCACTTTACGTTAAACTTTTCCTTTATCTCTTTGCTGTTTTGCAGCAGCAAAAAATGTCGAAATCCATACCGGATTTGCAAGATTCTCTAGTAAATGATAAGGAAAGTACAAATAATATTGTTGCTGTAAAAATGGAGAAAACTATTGGTCTTGTAAGCAGCATCACAATTATTAACGGTTCAATCATTGGTTCGGGTATATTTGTTAGTCCAACTGGTATATTAGAAAATATGCAGAGTTTTGGTGCTAGCTTAATTATTTGTATTGGGTGTGGAATTTTTTCTTTATTGGGGACCTATTGCTATGCTGAGCTAGGCACAATGATTCAACGCTCAGGTGGAGATTATGCATATGTGCTTGAAGCGTTTGGTTCATTTATGGGATTTTTACGTCTGTGGATTGAAGTGATGGTAGCCAGACCAGCTACAATGGCTGTCATTGCTATGACATTTGCTAAATACATTTTACAGCCTATATTTCCTGATTGTCCACAGTCTAATGCAGTTGTACGATGTTTAGCAGCTGTATGTATTAGTAAGTAAATTCAATTGACTCGGACGTTTTTACTTATTAAACAATAAATATCCGTGATATAATTCTTTGGCTTATTAATTCACGTTGCGAATATGATTTTATTTGACCTTTAATATCATTTGGGAGAATGGTTTAATGCTAGATTTCATAATTAAAAGTTTTGTGGCTCTATATCTGACTCCATTTAGATCGTATGCGGATTGTCATCAAAATATATATACCGACAACCCTCGTATATATCTATCGACTTAAGTCACGTTAGGGAATAACTAGATTAAATAAGTCAAATACAAGAATGAACTTTCGGATACACATATTTCATACAGATTTTCAAATACAACACAGAGAACACCGATCCAGTCACACTTGATGGACAAGCTCTGGAACAGGTGGAAACTTTCACATATCATGTTAGCAGCATCATTGATGAACAAGGTGGATCCGATGCAGACGAAAAGGATTGACAAAGTAAGGACAGTATTCTCACAAAAAAGAAAATATGGAACTCAAAACAACGTCAACCAACATCCAATTCACAAACTTAAATACGAACACGAACATCAAGACAGTCCTACTGTACGGAGCTGAAACGTGAAGAACTGTCAAAACCACAATTACAAATTAACAAGTATTTATAAACAACCGTCTACACAAGATACTCAACATCCGTTGGCCAGATACCATCAGCAACAGCTTACTGTGGACGAGAACAAACCAGCTTTCAGCTGAAGAGGAAATTAGGAAAAGATGTTGAAAGTGGATGAGTGGATGTAGTAGTAGTAGTAGTAGTAGTAGTAGTAGTAGTAGTAGTAGTAGTAGTAGTAGTAGTAGTAGTAGTAGTAGTAGTAGTAGTAGTAGTAGTAGTAGTAGTAGTAGTAGTAAAAGGCCTAAGCTACAATTTGTATAGTACAATTTATTTTTCTTTCTGGTTAGTGTTTTTTTAGCAAGTTAGTTTTCTACGGGATCAGGACGCTAACCCCATGCCTAACCCTCCTCCTTCATCCGGGCTTGGGAGCGGCAGTAGCCCCCGGAGGGACTCCAGGCGGAGTTATAGTACAATTTATACCGCAGTTTATATACTAATCTGTACCTTATAAAAAGAAGAATCCTATCATGATAATAACGGTAAATAAAAATATTTCGACATTAATCAATATCTTTACGGGGATAAATATGTAAAGAAACAAATAATCTTGTATTTTTATACATACTGGTTCAGTTCGACAATCATTTTTTCACTAACTAAGGATTATTGAAGTTAATAAACACTTCACAGGTAATTTGTTCTTGTCTACGATTTATTAGCGTTACACACCTACAACATTATTATGGTTCGGATACAAAGCCTCAAACTATCTAGGAGATTCTATTGTACAGAACGTCTTAAATTACATCCATTGTTTAATGGTTATTGCGCACTTCCGAAAAGTACTAGACAAGAGCAAAATATTTGCATGATCCTTCCTGAATATTCACTGGTTCTTCACTATCTGATATCAGTTTTTTAACGTAAACTTCTTTCAATATTACTATTACTTCACTCATTTAGTATTTATTAATTATTGCTATAGTGATCCTGGGATTTATAAACTCTGTCTCTGTACGTTGGTCTACACGTGTACAGGATATTTTCACATATACCAAAATAATAGCATTATTAATGATTATTATTACAGGATTTGTACAAATTGGTTTAGGTGAGTTGAATTTGAGTAGACATATTATAGGTATATATTGCATAACAAATTTACTTTCTATTACAGATTATTGAAAATAAAAATCGGATGATATTAAGTCTAATAATTCTAACTTTGATTTGAGGTTTAACTTCATACAATTCCTAACTTTTCTAACATTTCAATAGGACATAAGGAAATGCTATTTTTGCATATATTCTCTTAGTTAGTTACACTTGGAGACTACATTCGAATCAATCTTTATATTAGAAGCAATGCAGTATATTGTGGTCAAGTTAAAAGAGTCAGTGGTGGAGACAGGTTATGAAAAATAGCGGACAAAGTAGAAGAACAAGTGGTGATTATTCGTGGAGGTGGTTAATAAAGGAAGAATAGAGACAAGAGTTTTCCCAGGGGTCACAAATGAGCATCATTTATTAGGTACTCGTAATGGAACGGTTAATTTATAGTGTTCCGTGGAACAGTAGGAGAAAGGGTTAAATAGTTAAAAAGTGTATGCATGATTCAGAGTAGTCCTGAATTCGTAATGTTGTTCACGTGAAACCAAGGTTTCTTTTCATATTCAATAGAAAGTTTTCTCCTCTTGAAAATTGGAGTCATTGTTATTCAACTAGTGGCGTTTTGTAAAAAGTACTCACTAACTGACTAGATCTTCATGTTATAACTTGTGACCTGTGTGCCCTGTTAATGTATACGTAATGATACCGCCAATTAGAGACCAGTGAATTATCGATCGGACCAATGACGCATAAAATCCGTACAAGCAGTCCAGAGTCCTTATCGGTCCTGCTTCTTGCCTAGCCTCTCCTATTAAGTCCAGGAAACCAATCCCAGCCCCTACGATATGAATCATGCATTTTAAACAAACTGGGTTTATATACAAACCAAACAGACCACATCACACCACAAATTGGAAAACAACATTTGTACAGGACTTAGCCAAAAGTGGCTGTGAATGTGGGAGACTGTAATTAATAGACTGGGCATAACTCAAGAACGCTAAATCGTATAATAATAGTCTATCAGTCAAAATAAAGCTCATAATAATAGGAATATGAATATGCATAGTTTAGTTACTTAACAATTATACAACAGAAATATATCCATCGTAATGGTCAATAAATAGCTCTCAAGAGTTACCATTCACTATTTTTATCGGGACATAAATACTGTGGAGTTTTTTTGAACTAATATTCCAATATTTCTCAAATTCCAGGTCACGTTGAAAAATTTCAATCACCATTTGAAGGATCTAATTGGAATCCTGGAAGTATTACCAAAGCATTCTATTCTGGTTTATTCTCTTATGCTGGTTGGAATTATTTAAATTGTATGATTGAAGAAATGAAAAATCCTAAACGTGATTTACCTATTGCTATTGTCTTCTCATGTCTTGTTGTGACTATTGTCTATACATTAGCTAATGTTGCTTATATTACTGTGGTTTCATTGAATGAAATATTAACAACACCAGCTGTTGCTGTAGTAAGTAATAATTATGATTTAATTTGAACGATTATTAACACAAGCCAGTCCTTTGCAGCTTTCTTTCATGACACAACACCATGTCATACACTGACCACCTCTCCGCTTTTTCCAACCAGTCCCAGAGTCCGAAAATAATGCACGACGTGGAATTCTCTGAGATGACATTCGTAAAACATGTCCAAACCCCGAGGTTGGTGTTTCAAGATGGTGACATCGATTGCATTATCAACTAATGGACTTGTTATGCGACCTAGGATCGGCCACGGCTGTTGGTTAGAGTTTTTGAACAAACTTAGACTATCATACTCTAATTGCAGCTTCAATTCTGTGAAACGGATTTTACGTAGCCAATTTTCTGAAATCCTCAGTAAAGTTGATTTCAATCCGAAATAATAGTAAGTTCCTGATTTCAGGATTTTAGGCTCCACGTCGTTGCATCGACGTAGAGCACTCCGGATGGACGTTGGGAGTTCTGGATATCTCGCACGAAAAAGGTCCAATATTCGATCAGCCTTCTTTATGCTTATGTCACCACCTTTCATCATTTCAATGACTATTCTGTCTAACTGATCTTTCATGGAAAGATGAATGGCTGTAGACATTTTTGACATCACACGACCTATAAATTTTTAATAATTAAAGGGATACTACCGCTGGTTGTGTTGTCTGAACACTGGACGTAACTACATGAAGCAGTAGCTGTAACTGAGACAATATTAGCACACTGCTCCGTGGCTGCGGTAGTCTGTGATTCAGTGACGACAAGTGAATTGTCTGTCTCTTTGTTACTGCTCGGTAACTGACACTTCTTTATAAACTCTGCTTTTAACTTCCTCAACCTTCTGTAATAGGTTGCTCGGGAACAGCCGAACAACCTCAGGTATTTTTCCGCTTGAGCTCGCCTTTACGCAATCTTATTGACCTGTCTATTATTATTCTGAAAGAAATAATTGACTTAGGTAAGACTGAACATAGCACCCAAAGTTTTCGACTAGCACTGCTAATAACTCACCTGCATAGCGTTCGAATTTTGAAAAAGTGGTTTACTATCAAAAACTATGTTTGTTGATGTATTCAAATGGTTCAAATGGTTGTGGACAGAATAGAAGAAGCTTTCGCTTAACAGGCTTCCGTGTCTAGTAGCAGGGGATCACCAAGTCCTCCAGGCAGGAACCTAGGTATGTTAACAATAAAAGAGGAAAAGAAATCGGTAAATCATAGTGCGATGCTGTCCTTGGTCCTTAAGAATAGGTCAAGTTGCCTCTTGAAGGACTCCTGAGAAGTCGCTTGGACTAGCTCGGCCGGCAGCGAATTCCAGCTTTTGACAACTCTTAAGGAGTAGAAGTTGTGTCTACATTCCGTCTTGCTATGTTGTGTTTCCAGTTTCTGGGTGTTACCCCTTAGGTTATTATTCTAACTAAGCTTAAGTAGGTGTTTAAGAGGATGTCCAGAAGTGTTAAGAATACTATAAGCCATTAATAAATCACCTCTAAGACGCCTATACTGTGAATGGAGGCGTTCTTCGTAAGGTTTAGATTTGAGTCCTCGAACTGATTTCGTGGCTCGACGTTATTTTACGCTCCAAAGTGACCTTGTCCTTTTGGAGTGAGGGAGGGAGTACTATGTTTCCGTACTCTAAATGGGGACGGATGAAACTATTGAAGATTGTATGGAAAGTTCGTCCGTCAAACTTGTCAAAAATGCGCTTCAACGTTACCAGTGCAAGGTTTGCTCGGAAGGCATTTTTGTCACAGTTAGCGTAAGACTTTAAATCATGGGGCACCAGGACTCCTAAATATTTTTCGACTTGGGATACTACTAGAGAGGAGCTTCCTAAGTTGTAACTGTAGTTTGCGACATGTCGCAGATGGACTACTTTACACTTTGAAGTGTTAAAGGTAAGTTCGTTATCGTCTGCCCAACTTTGAAGTCGAGTCAGACCCTCCTGAAGTGCCTGTATATCGTCTTGGTTGTGTATCTCTCTCCAAAGTTTCACGTCGTCGGCAAAAAGTAATAAGTCTGACGTTACCTGTTGAGGAAGATCATTTATGTAGATCAAGAAGAGAAGAGGCCCTAGAACTGAGCCCTGGGGGACCCCACTAGGACATTCCATAGCCTGAGATAAAGTGAAATTAACCATAACATTAAAGTGTCGATTTTTTAGGTATGAAGTAAGCCAATCGATTAGAGGTGGTTTGATACCTAGTTGTTTGAGCTTATTGATAAGGCACAAGTGGTTAACCTTATCAAAAGCTTTTGAGAAATCAAGGTAAATGATATCAACCTTTCCCTTGCGATCGAGGATGCTAGTCCATCTGTCCACCGCAGTCAGCAGGTTGGTTATACAAGAGTAACCCTTCCTGAAACCATGCTGTTGGGGTGAGATGAAATTTAAGGACAGTAGATAGTCGTTTAAACCGTCGCGTATCAGGGACTCCATGAGTTTTGAAGGTAATGACAGAAGAGCCACCGGCCGATAACTTGAAGGTTCATTGCGTCGACCATCTTTGAAAATTGGTGTGATGTGAACCAACTTCCAATTTTCCGGTAATTTGCCTCGGCTTAGCGAGTGTGAAAACATCACGCTAAGCAGCGTTGCCAGGATTAAGGCTGCCTCCCTCAGTATGGCAGGATGAACCATATCCGGGCCAGGAGAAGTATCTAGTCTTAAGTGCTGCAATTTACGGAACACCAAGTCAGCGCTTAGGTTCACTTCGGAAAGTCCTGTGGAATTGCAGATGAAACTGTCGTGAGTAAATGTAGGTGGCTTGAAGCTTTTGGGAACCGTTTGAGGAACTGAATGGTCTGTAGCACATAAGAGCGTGTGCAGTAAGAAGTCCCAATGACCGTCCACGTCGAGTTGAGAGTGAACATCCCAAACCACCTGTTGTAGATAGTCATGTAGAGCTGGCACATTCAGCCGTTTAAAATTCCAACGCTAATTATTGTTGGGATACCTTAGCTTAGTTTTGATGACAAAACTGAAGGCTTTGACGGCATGATCGCTCTTTCCCAGAGGAGCCAGGATCGAGAGGTTGTCAACTAGGAATTCTTCGTTTGTGAATACACAGTCTAAGCGCGATGGTGTCTGACTGTTTCTCCAACGAGTTGCCGACCTCACATTTTCATATAAGCCCAAGTCATCGATGAGGTCGAAGAACCGAGCTTCAATTGAGTTGTCGCCTCCAGTGTACGTGTGTTCCGCGAAGTTGACTCTAGGGAGATTTGAGTCCCCTAGAATCAGGATGTGTGTGAAACCGAGAAGGGTAGAGCGGGATAGTCCTTCCAGCATACGACTATCGTACTCGATGTCGGCAGTTGGCTTCCTGTAAGTGACTCCGACTAGACACCTCGAAGTACTGGACAATATTACAGAGCACCATATGGATTCCTCAAGATTGTTAAACTCGAGGTTGTGAACTTGGTGCACCTCCAAGCAAGAGCTTATGTATATGGCTACTCCGCCCCCAATTCCTATTTTTCTGTCGTTGCGGAACAAAGTCATCCCAGGTAATGCTAATTCTTGGTCCGAGAACTGAGAAGCTATCCGGGTTTCAGATATTCCTATCAGATGGGCCTTAATAGCGTTGCTAAGTTCACGTAATTCATCCAGTTTGTTTGGTAGACTCGCGGCGTTCATATATAAGCAGTTTATGCTTTCAATTTGGAACGCGTGAGCTTCGTCCTGTTTTTCTGTATGAGCCTTATGCGAATGGACAGGTAGCCCACCTATATGAGGTTTCCCGAGGTGGTAGGCCCTGTCATTTACACGTTTTTTATCATTTCGACAGTCCACAAGTGGAATGGTCAACTCCAACTTGCCTTTGTGCTTGGTCTTAGCTTCATATGGCCTATCCGGGTGCATGTGGATTCCAGGTGGCAATCGACGTCTGTTGGCACGAAATGCTTCCAGAACTGCAGCTGCCATAATAATAATAATTTATTCTCAAATAACAGTTTGTTACATGAGGCATGCCAGTTTACAGGCAAGATCAAATTGATACAAATGATACAATATACACTGTATTAAATTACATAGCTGGGTTGAAAATTTATAAGACGTGAATGTAGATTGTTTTAATCAGTACTACAGTTGGCGCGCTTCACGAGAGTTGCGTTGCGAATGTGCGACTGATGGTCAAGGATAGGTCTTATGTCCCTTTGGGATATCCAAGGCTTTAAGGATGGTGCAGGATGAAGTAACCTGTTCCATATCTCAAGGGGGCTGAAAGAGGGAACAAGTAAAAGAAAACACGAGAGGCAGAGTAGCCAATATTCATGTAGGAATGTTTAAGGCATGATTACTCAGTCTAATTTTCTTTTATTAAGGTATTTGTTAAGAAAGAGCACTTTAATAGGTTAAAGAAAATAAGCTTTAGCAAGGTGTGAGTGGACATACAACTGACAAATGGAGGCGATTCGGAGAAGAGCTGAGAGTATAAGATTATGTGTGATTATAAAATAAAATATAGTGCTAGAAACAGTATTGTGATATACAACTGGCTATCTTCCTTTTATTATCGAAGCTATTAGAGCCCCTTTCGTTTTTTTTATTTGTTTTTTTTCAGGTATTATAGGGTCTTGAGTGGGCTTCGTATATTAGAGAATTGTCTAGTTTGCTTGTAATAGGATTACTGGGTAGGAAGTGAAACCAATTCAACGTTCGTAACACGATTTAAAGAGGTATTTTGCGTGATAAATCAGCTTCAATACCATAAGTCCGTGACATCCCACTAAACCATAAGGAGCCGTAATTAAACAAAATGTTCTGCCCTACAGACATGGGTGGATTGAAGTTATCTCCCCACCTTCATGTTTGCTGGTCAGTAACGCCACCCTCCCTCCTTTTGTGATGTTAGGCTCTCTTACGTTTGTGGTAAGTATGATTAATGCTTTAATCAAAGCACATAGTTGGAATACACTGTCTCTACTAGGTCCATGTTACAAGCAAATCAGATATTTAAAAATTCTGTTTTATGGGTTAGATGTCCATATAGTATATCACACTGCTATGAAAATAACTA